TTCTTTCCCCGCTTAGCCCTTCAAGTCCGTTCCCTTGACTGTCGTTTCGCTAGATAGTAACTCGGGACAGAGGGAATCTCATTAATCCATTCATGTGTAAACCCAATCGCACCACAGGACAGGGGACCAGCGCAAAGGAGTCACACCTCCACTCCAGTCGCTCACACACAAACCCCACGGGGGCCGCAGTGGAGTGGTCCAGCAACACAACGGTGTCCTTCCCACTCACAGTGCACACACACACATAATGACAGTCTCACATGCTCATATCAGAAAGGCACTGCGGCATTCCCTAAAATGTACACTAAGTCACACACCTACAGAGAGGAAAAGAAAAACACAAGAAAAGAACAACAACAACAACAGGATACTAACAGCACACAAAGCACTCACAATACAATAATCACAGCTGCCACTCCCATCAGAGAAAAACATTCACCCACACCAACACATCAACTCAACCCCAAAAAAGAAAGAAACAGATCCATTACGTGAAGCCGAGGCGGATCAGTCTCAGTCCATCTCCCCGCAGGCTGCAGTCACTCAAGCAAGCCAAACAACAAATAACACACACAACAAGGGAGGAAATATCTTCACGGCAATGCTGTGAGTGACACCACCGAGAGAGAAGGTGAGAACAAAGAAATGTGTTTTCATTACGTGGGCGGTGTGAGTAGCAACCCAAACACACAAAGGAAACACACTCAAACACCTACAACCCATCAATATTTATACCAAAATAAAAATGTAAAAAAAGAGTGACTGCATGAGGCAGACACAATAATAGAGCAAAGATGTAAAAGAAAAAAAAAAGAAATTCATTACTGACTGTGGCTTCGATGCCTGAACACAGCCCAATCCACCCCAAGGTTAACAACGGAAAATCATTGTGTACTGAACCTGCCGTACCCATATCTTTATTCTTAATGTCCGTGCACCAGTTTGTATATAATGAAAAAAAGAATCATTCCATAAAAATGAACACACAAGATACACAAGGTGTATCGGAAACGCAAAAGAGAAACACACGGCTACACATAAAGTGCAATGAAATCACAATGATAAACACACACAATGGAAAAACAAAATAATAAAAACAAAACAAAAAGAAAGCTGAGTTCACCAAGTGAATATCTTCAGGAGGCAATAACACAATTTCCAGCAGTAGGTGTGTGTGTGTCTTTCGTACAGGGCGAGCAATGGAAATGATGCACACATGATGACAGTCCATACACACACACAAAGAGAAGGAAGGTTGGTAGTGTGCGTGTTTGTGTGTCTTGAACCTCCTGCCATTCTTCACATTTCAGTCACAGCCATTAAAACACATCGGGATTGTATACCATTCCCAATGGGTAAAAGCAATAGTTATTAATATCACGGAACACACACATCACCAGGAGGACACAGTGAATGGCGGCACAGCAGAGTCCAGATAATGCGAACAAAGAAAGAGAACACTCCCCTCACAAAATGATGGTTTGTCATGCGATAAGTGCCATAGGGAATCCAATAGATGTGTTCAGTAAAAAAATGCAAACAAGAGATTTATCGTGATAGAAGAAAAAAAAAAGAAGGGCTGATATTTAACCAAAAAGAACAGTGACCTTACAATGCATCCATGTCCACTCAAACAGAGGTCAACTGTGCAGCTGTGTCATGGGAACAACGATCAGCAAACGAGAGTGCAACTCAATACACACAATAGAAGCAGCAATAAAGGACTGTGCACCAATGCAGGACTGTTGCTGCTGTCTCTCTCTTGCATTGCATTTATTTCATGCGCTACATCTATTTGTGGCCCTTTTGCCTCCTTCTCTTTCTCTGCGGTTACACTTTCCTGTCCTTCCTTGAACGTTTCTTCCCGACTTTCTTTGGTCTCTTTTCCCCCACCGTTATTTTCCCTCCCCGCCACTTCTCCATTTTCGTTTTCTTTCTTCTCCGTCTCTCCTTCCTCGACCTTTTCTTCCATTGTGGCATTTGGCCCTTTCGCCTGCTCTTCTTCAGTCTCCTTTTCTTCTTTCGCTTCTACCTTGTGTGTCTCCCGCGCTTTTTCTTCTCCAGGCCCCCTCGTCACTTCATTATCCCTTGGCGGCTGCTCTTCAACTTCACTCTCTTTTTTATCTTCAACCAGCTCCTCCGGTTCCAGATGCCGAAATTCTTCTTTTGCTTTTGCTTTTGCCTCCTCCAGTTTCTTAGAAACGTCGTCTATTCTCTTCGCCGCCATTTTATTAAATTGTTCATCATCGTCATCTTCTACCATGATGCCTTCCATATCAATTTCGTGCTTCGCGACTTCTCCCAAAGTCTCACTGAGGGCCATCAACTCCCTACTCGCGTTATCCTTGAGCGTGCCCGCACTCCGCAGTGTTTCGATTTCAATCACCACATATTCGAGTTCCTTTCTGAGGTTCAATAACGTTTGGATTGCTTTATTGCTGTTCTCTACGAGTTTCTTTACTTCCGGCTCTTGCTGCTTTTCGTTCGGATGTTCTTTCAGGAAACGCTCTCGAGCGTTCTCAAGTCCCTCCATTTCGCCTTTTAAGTCCCAAGTTCTAACTTTGCATCTATCTAGCAAGATATGCATGTCCACGAGTGAAACTGTCAAGTTGCTAATTGCGTATATGTTTCCTTGCATTCTATCCTTATTTCCTTTCATCCACGTTTCTTTTGACTCACCCGCCGTTTCTTCTTCTAATTCCTTAATCTTTTTATCAAGAACCTTGATATCCTTCGCAGCAGTTTCAGCATGCTCGGTGTTTTTCTTGCACAATTCCACATCCCCCTTTAACGCAGACAGACAACCAGCCGTATGCACAATGTGCTCGTACGCCTTGGTTACCGAGTTGTTTAACTGATCCACATCTGCTTTACTTAACTCATTGGTGGAAATATCCCGCACAACATCAGCTGCATCCGCCGCACACACACAGCACTGAAGAAGTACCAATAGGTACACCACACGACCCATTTGAGTGAACATCGTTGTCATGAATATCACTTCGGTTGCTTGGATCTGTGGTAACAAGGAAGAAGAGAAGGAGAAAAGAGACGCACATTAAACATACTGAAAAACAGCAGCAACGCAGATGGAAAAGTAGAGAGAGCAACATCATAACAGCAATCAAACCACTCACACAAAACAAAGCAACGCGACGCAGGCAATCAATCTTACCACTTCACAAAAAAACAAATGCACTCCAGGTTCAGTACGGATGTCAAAACAACACCCCCAATTACGAAAAAAAACCACGAAAACAAACAAAAAGAAACAGCACCATGGGAATTTACCTACAGACCCCAGTTATCCCACTCGGCAATAATACACAACGTGCCCTCTGACTATCTTTCACCGATAGCGTAACCTCATTGCACGAATGGTCGGCATCCCCCAAAAACCGTTACAAGACCACTGAGGAGATACCAGCAAACGCAGGACACCATCTCATGGCACAGTACCCAAAGAGCACTCCCAACATGAACGTCAAATGTAACACTGCAACCCATCAGCCATCACAACATCCACACGTCAAATTCCCTGTGGTTTCAACATGGGCGCACGCAACATCGGCACCCTTTACTGCAAAGAACTGCTCGAACGACTGTCACCATCCCCCATTAGCCCATGAACACATCACAATGATGAGTGTCTGCTGTGCGCACACGTTCACCACACACTCCTCTTTGTGTGTATTGGATCCGTGGCGCATATCAAAAATACACGAGCGACCCAGTCGGAAATAGAACCTCCAAACACCACGAGATCACGGACATCGTCAGGTGAGCAACCGCAGGCCAATGTTGGGCGGCATCACCTGAAATCGCACCTCACTTTCACAATGCCGGAGATTGGAAACAACCACCATTGCATGGGATGTGAAAACACAGTTGCGGGAGGAAAAGAAAGATGCACATCATCAACAGCATTCGGAATAAACACACGACCCCGGGGTACAAAACCCGGCAAAAAGTTCACCTGCACGCCATAAAAGCCCACAAACAAGTGAAGTAAACGTGCCAAGACAAATCGCCCACACCCAAAACAAGAATCCCTGAAAACCAAAAGGACGGAAACACACACCGTACCAATCACTCACACACCAAACACAGATGTCCTCTGTCCCAAGGAAACACCATATCTCCGACCACACACCTGGCCGCAGAAGAACTCTCTGGTGACTGAACTTGCTCAATTCCCACATTAAACCACGACAGAAATAGAACACCAAACACCGACAGAGATGACGAACCCCCACCACGAGGGCAATCCAGGGGCAAACGACTGCGAAACCCCACAAAGTTCGACTAGAAACATTTACAGACGCCGATAACGAGTAACACCTCTTCCCCCACTTTTCAAACAAAGTACTTGAAGAAACAACACCCTCTCCAAATACGCGGTTAATCCACGAACACGACACCGACGAAGAAACCAAACACCACCTCCAAACAGGGTCCCACAAATACCATACATAAGAGAATATTAAATACGAAAAAAGAGAGGCCTACGAGACGTCCACCAACTATTTTGGCACACACACACGCACAAATGAGCGCAACACATAAACAACAACACACGTATCGGAACCCACAATCAAGAACTATGGCATTGTTTGTTTGTAGTTCGTTTGCATTAGCACTGCTCGCAATACAATGTTGTTCGCATCTCTAACGTCACAAACAACGTTCATGAAAATACACTCCTTGCACGAGCACGAAAACGACGGGACATTCCCGCTACCGCTGCAGCGATTACGGACACAGATCATCCCCAACTCTGAATGTCCTCCCACGCTCTTTCCTCCATAATTATATTTAGGAGGGTAATATCAAACATATCCCCTTTCCACCCCTCCACCCATGGGACTCCATATCATCATGGATTTGTTTTTTATTTTCTTTCTTCACGTCTTTATGGATATTACTCCAATGGTACGGCTATCAACCGTACACCGTAGAACACCTAGTTACCGACATACGAGTGGCTCCGAAGAGGAAGAAGATCCCTTCATTTTATAGGATCCTCAAGCTCTTGTAATATGATTTTTGGTTGTAGCCCGTTCCCATACGAGAGAACCAGTCTACGAGAAATCTGATCGAGCAAACCCTACCAGATCTCTCTACTCTCACTTTTCTTACACAGAACCCGTCCTCAAGTCTCCTTTTGGTATTAATGTTCGTTATTTTTGGGTTTATTATAATAGATTGACCTCAATGAACTCCTATTTATTTTGTTGCTTGTTGGGTCGGTGATGAGCGCCTTGAGCGTACTCTTCTATCAAGGTTTCCATATTCGAGCTCGTCGCTGATTTTAGAGAGGTGGGGAGGTAAGCTGCGTAGGGTTTCGTGGTTGTGAAGAGTGTGGCATAGTGTAGTTCCGCTCCACCGTAATGAGGAACTGTGCTAATCGCTTAGAAAAACATAGTTTCATCAGGGGTACATCATCAACTATCGCAAATTGAACTCGCAGTGGATGAAGAGCGGGGCAACTCAAAAGATGCAGAGCTGTTTCGTCGCATTCGTCGCGTTGGCTGGTGTGCACGTGAGTAAGTTGATACCCGTGTCGAGACATTCGGTGTTGAGTTAGGCCTGATTTACTCATACACATTGACGACCGCACGTGGGACAGACTAATGGCGGAAAGTCTCTTGTTTTCGTTGTCTTGTATTACCCATTGGTGGAATTTGTTTTTTGTGGCATACCCTCTCCTTCATGGAATGTTCTGCAGTGTATTGCGAGGGAGTCTAGGTGTGCGTAGAACTTCTGGCATACTCCGCATTGGACTTTTTCTCTGTCCTCACGCTCCAGTGGCGACGTATCTCGCTGGCGTTTCTTATTTCGCGGAAAGGCTACTTGTATTGTTGCTGGCAGAATTGGGGTTCCAGGTGGATGTTTAAACTTTTTGTGGCAGGCGAGCGCTCCAATGTTGCCAAGTCGCGTAGACAAAATTCGCAGCATAGTGAAGCAGGCTGTGGGATGAGCTGAGGGCGAGGTGCGCCTTTTTTGGGGTCCTCAGGATGCCGTGCTCTAATATGAGGTTTGAGACCTGTTTTAGAGCGCGCTATCATATCACATTTGTCACAGGGAAATGCTGATCCTTCTGGTGGTATTGATTCGTTGGCTCGCGGGCGTTTTCTCTCTGGGACAGGGTATGTGACGTTGTGCATGTATCTAAGGTGGCGTGTTAATCCATTTTGAAGCGGAAATGTTCGGGCACACATACTGCAGGCAAACGGATGAGGTTTTGCTTTAGGCGAAGTGGGGCGGGGTAACGTTGTGGCCGGAGGTGGGGTAATGTTGTGGGAGTGGCGGAGGTTCTGGCGGGATGTCCGGCGGAGGTGGCTCATGGGGGAATTTGATCTTCCAGAACGCATCGGCCCTCTTGAACCCATGTGTTTACTGACCATATGTACTACTGCGGTGTTCCTGCATGAGTATTGCGCCCCGCATTCAGTGCAGGAGGCAGGTTCCGTTGCTTTGTTTAGTGCATAGAGCGGTCTTTTTTGGCCAGGTGGAATAACGGGTGCTAGCATATTGATTTGTTGGGGATTGCACCATCGACAACCAGAGGGAATATGGGTTTGTATCTTTCGCAGCAACCAGCCATAGCGATGCGAAGCACCTGTGCGAAAACGTGCTAAGGCTGTTTCTTCTTCTCTAGTGAGTTCCGGGTT